TGCATGGCCATATTTTGTGCCAGCCATTTCTATACACATGGCCTCATTTTATTTTCTCAAGAATTTCTTAAAAATTATGTCACTTTACAGCTGAGAAAACTAAGAGTAAGAGAGGTTGCTCTGCCTTTGTTAAAAGTGAGAAATAAACAGAGCCAGACTCAAACCCTGCTTTGCTGACTCTGAACCAGTAGTCCCCGCTTCTCCATGTTTGTACATGTTCATCATCTCCCCTGGCCTTTTATCAGGAGCACTTATGGAAAATGCATTTAAGATTCCTTGGCAGTACAATGCAGAAGTCCCTCACTCTTGTTTCTGGGTCTTCCGTTAACTTTTCCCACCTCCTTACCCACTAAACTTCTCGCTGTCACCTAAAGGTGGTTTTGCCACTTCGGTCTTGGCCAACACTCCCGTGGCTTTGCCTCAGCTGCACTCATCTTCAGCTTGGACTCATACCTGATCGTGCCTGTGGTCATATTCTATGCTCTGTCTTAGACTTTGTCCTACCTCTAATTCTTTAGCCCTTTCAACACAGTAGAAAGTTTTAAAAAGAGTATAGGATCATGTCTTGGGAGGAAATAAGACATGCACAGATTATATGAAAGAGTTACGGCCATTTATTTGTTGGCGTTTCCCTGCAAGGAGAGGTCTATAGCAGGAGAAGGTTTAAAAACTACTCAAGGGCGTCTTTATGCTGCCTTTCTCCAAAAGAGGCCATTTTCTGTTTCTGTTTTTCTAATTATACATTGTCATTGTAGAAGGTTGACAAAACACAGAGACTGTCCTGCTTCAGAAATAGTCATTGTTAACCTTTTGGTGTTTTGTAGTTCTTTGTGCTACACTTAATTCCATGCTACAGTTAATTTAATTGTCAAGTTGTTTTATGCAAAGTAAACTGTTAGGATAGTGCCTACGTAGCTCGATAGTTCGGCTAGCCTATGGTGCCCAGTTATCTAGTCAAACAACAGTCTAGGCGCTGCTGTAAAGGTAGTTCTGTTCCCTCCTCCTTCTCCTTCTCCTCCTTTTCCCTCTTCTCCTCTTCCTCTTCCTTCTCCTGCCCTTCTTCCTCCTCCTCTTCCTCCTTCTCCCTTCTCCCGCTTCTTCTTGGATAAATATTTAAACAAATAGACTTTGACTAAAGTAGACCACCCTCCAACAATGCACATGGACTTGATCTAGTAAGTTACTCCTTGAGAGTAAAGACTTGGGTTTCCAAAAAAGAAGCAATTCTGCCACAAGACTGCAATGTGGAAATCTGTGTGAGTTTCTAGTCTGCAAATTTAGGATTCAGTACACCATTAACTCTTTGCTGACTTTGTAGCCTCCTAGCCTGCTCTACAAATTTCAGATTTGCCAGCCCTCAAAATCACACAAACTGATCCTTAATGTAAATCTATTATCTACATAATGCTGTGGGTTCACTTTCTCTGAATACCCTAATATACCTTCTCCCTGCTCACCTGTTTCCTCTGGTTTAGCATTTCTCAAGCTATCACATTGTTATGGCTGAAACATTGTGTCAACTTGGGGAGTCTAAAGGTTTGGCTAAGTGACTCAGCAGGAAGCCAGGGTGCTTACTTTGTATACATCCTGAGCCTGTGGAAGAGGAGGGCATGGAGATTATGTGAGAGCTACAGGCCCCTTAGGTGGGGGTAGCCTGTTTACAAAGTAAGGGAGGGAAAGAGGCTGCTGGCTGGGATTCCTCCCTTTTGCTCTGGCTGTTTGCTGTTCGGCCGCCATTCCCCCCTTTGCTCTTGTTGGTTTGCTACCTTCTGCCTCAGAGCCAGCCAGATATGGACTGAAACCTCCACAAACTGTGAACCAAATAAACCTTTCCTTCCTTCATTTTGGGCATTGGGTATTTTGTCTCAGCAACGAGAGAAAAGTGACTAAGACACACATGCATCCGGATTACCTGGGGAGCTTGTTCAGGTGCAGCTGTCAAGTCAGTAGATGGTGGGCTGAGAGTCTGCATGTCCACCCAGCTCCCAGAAATGCTTGTGCTGAGTGGCAAAATTTTATGTAACCAACTTTAGAAGTCTATTATGATCTCAGTTATTCTCCTAAAACATTTGTTTTAACTGTATTACACTCTACCAAATGGTGGATTACCATAGTTTAGTTAACCCATTTCCAATTGCTCTCATCTTAGTTTGCTGTCAGTTTTTCACTATTATATAGTGCTGCTTAGTGGTGCTCTGGTCAATAATGGACTGCATAAGACAGTGGCTCCATAAGATAATCTTGCCTAGTGATGCTGTAGCTTAGTATGTGTAAGGAACTCTGTAATGATCGCACGACACAGTCCGTAAAGATACATTGCTCAGAGTGCATCCCTGTTATTAAGCTAGGCATGTCTTTATCCTTGTATGCAGATGATAGTGTGCAGCTCTATTTCCTTAAGATAACAAAGAGAATTCTTGGGCCAAACTGGATACATTGCCTGGGCTTCAGAAATATATTTCTCAAAGATTCTTTAGAAACATCACTTGTCTTGTAGATATCTCCCCAGCAGCAGGGCCTACCAAATAGTCAGCATTGTCTGAATTCATTCATACATTTGCCCATTTATTCATGGGATGATATTACTTGATTCATCTCTGTAGTTAATGCCCTCAGCATCCTGCTGGGAGCTGGGGTAGAGGGAAGTTTTGTTCAATAACTAATTACAAAGTTAATTTTATTTTATTTATTTATTTATTTTTTTTGGTTTTTCTGCGGTAGCGGGAACCAAACTCACGACCTTGCGCTTGCCAGGCAGGCGCTTTTGCCGCTGAGCTAAATCCCCAGCCCCTTACAAAGTTAATTTTAAAAGTAATATTTACTTGGTGCTCCAGATGTATAACAAGAACCTGGTCTGATCTTAGGGTCAGGGACACTTCCTGAGAAAGTCATATTTGAGATGAGCTCTGCTGGTTCTGATGTTGTGGCACTGTATTCCCTAACTTTTGGAGAGGTTCTGATGATGGAACCTTGGCAGTCACCCATGGCAAGAGAGGGTGTACATGAAGTCTCAAGGGTCTCCCAAGGGGGCCTTTGTGGCTGCTTCACCTCCCTGCCTTACTGTTGTGGAGATGATGCTTCAGGGAAGTTCCCCTTCTGTCTGCTTCTCAGTGGGGTTTCAGCTTTCCAATACCCACACTGAACACCATCTGATTTCCCATTTAGCTCCATTTGTTCCAGGAAATGGAACCTAAATAGTGAGTTATTTAAAGGTAATTTACATAGGCAAATAGTTAGATCTTTGGATTGATCGTTATTTTGAACACTCCCACCCCTACTACTGCTGCTTCTGTTAATGTGGATAGCTGAAAAGAAAGCAATTGGTTACAAAGCTATAATATTCGAAAGCATGTAGTACTGACATAAGGGTAGACATGTAGACCAATGGATTAGAACTGAGAAGACAGAAATTTCTATGTTTATGGACAGTTGATATTTGGTAAGAATTCCAAGACTGGGAAAAAGAATGCTCTTTTCAGCAGCCGTTTCTTGGACAACTGTATAAACACCTGCTGAAAAAGTGAAGGTTGACCCCTACCTCACATCAATGTGAAAATTAATAAAAGATGGGCCAATAACCTAAAAATAAGAGCTGAAATGATAAAATTCTTGGAAGGAAACATTGGAGGTAAACTTCATGACTTTGGATAAATTATAGAATAGGTGAATTTTATTAAAATTAAAACTTTTGAGCACAATGGACATTATTTTTAAAATTAAAAGACCAACATATAGAATGGGAAAAATAACTGAAATTATTTATCTAATGAGTAAGAGTATGCTGAATATATAAATAATTCTTGCCACTCAACAGTAAAAAGGGCAACTCAATTTAAAAATAGGCAAAAGACCTAAACAGATTTCCCCAAAGAAGATACACAAATGCTAACAAGCATATAAAAAGATGGTCAGTATAATTAGTCACTGAAGACAAGTAAATCAAAACAATGAAGCATAAATTCAAACCTACTAGGAAATTTTTGAAAAACTGGACATTCTAGCAAAGATTTGGCAAAAATGGAAGCTTCTGAGTGGAATGGTAGAAATTAGACGGTGAGAATGTAAAATGGTGCAGCTGGGGCTGGGGATTTAGCTCAGCGGCAAAGCACCTGCCTGGCAAGCGCAAGGTTGTGAGTTCGGTTCCCGGTACCGGAGAAAAACCAAAAAATAAAATAAAATAAAATAAAATAAAATAAGATAAAATGGTGCAGCCGCTGTAGAAAACATTTTTGCAGTTCCTTTAAAAGTTAAATTTAGATATATAATCCAGAAATTCTACTCCTAGGTACATACCCCAAGGATTTGGAAATAGTATCCAAGCAGATAAATGTGCATGCATGTTCACAGCAGCTATGCAAAATATGCAGAAGATGGAAACAATCCAGATGTCTATCAGCAGATAAATAGATGAACAAAATGAGTCACCAGATAGGGCCTAATAAATTTGACTTTCAGTTGGAAATTGTCAGATGCGGACTATATAACCACACAATAGAACATTATCAAAAGGAATAAAGCCATAAAGAGGAATGAGGTGCTAATACACGCTGTAACTGGATAAACCTTAAAAAATGCCAAAGACACATATTATATAATTTCATCTATGTGAGTGTTCAGAGTCAGAACACAGATTTGTGATGCCAGACGCTGAAAAGAGGAGGATGAGGAGCAGCAGCTTAATGGGTACAATGTTTCCTTTTGTCTTGATGAAAATGTTTTGGAACCCGATTCAGGTGGTGGATGCACAACATCATGAACAGTCAAATGGCTTACCAAAATGGCTAATGCTGTGGGAATCTCACCTCACTGAACATAAAGCGATAAAGACAAAAAGTCAAGACTGTGTTCTTTGTTCCGGTCTTCTGTTTGCCTTATTTTACGGTTTTAAGATGGAAATGTAACAAAATCGTGACCCCCTGAGGTGTGTACTACCTTAGGGTTTTATTAGCGTTCATGTCAATGGGCTCTCCCATGATTTTCACCCACTTTGTACAATTTAGATTTCAGTCCAAGGCTTCAGGAACATTGCGAGCAGCTGCACTGGAATCATCTACCTGACCATGAATGACATGCCCACCCTGACAGACAACTGCGTGAAAGTAGGTGGTTGGGGACGGATTTTTTTCTAGTCCCATTACATGAGCATATACTGTAATGCCTTGAATTGGTCTTTCATTATAATTAATAGAAAATCATATAAAGGCTTACACACATACATATGCATGCACATGCACACAGCTACGTGTATACTTCCAAAAATGTTTGAACATTTCAATCCTTAAATAAATACGCTAAAAAACCTAGTCTTATGATTAGGATATTTTTGTCTCAGTGGTGTGATCATCTAAGCATAGAATTTAAATTTAACTCTCCCATCCAAGTGCTGACCCCAGTTCTGATTAACTTAAATTTAATTCTCCATGTGAAGCTGCCAAATGTAGTGATTTTTTCCAGCATTCTAGCCTCTCGTGTTTTCCAGTTGTTCTGTAACATGGTTTAATTCTGATCCCTCTGCATTACTCACATGCGGTATGTTACATTATATTGAAAACACTTTTTTTTTTCAAAATCAGGAACATGGTTAGTGTGTCTATTTCTGTAAACACTGAGAGAGAAGGGTGACCTCATTACCTTGCTGAGCTTGTTCTCCACAGTGTGGTTAATTTAAGTATCTTTTCTTCTGAAGGCTTTAGTGGAGAAGTGCCGATCGATTGCATCAGTGGTTTTCATTGGTTCACCACATATCTCTGATAGTGCTTTCGACGCTCTTTCTGCGTGCAGCCTCAGGAAGATTCGATTTGAAGGTCTATGATATTAAAAACGTGGTTCTGTCTTATTAAGTTTTACTTCTGTTTTGGTGGCATTACAAATACAGTACTTTTTGTCTTTTTTTAAACAGGAAATAAAAGGATCACTGATGCATCTTTCAAATTTATAGTCAGGAATTATCCAAATATCAATCACATTTATATGGCTGACTGCAAGGGAATAACAGATAGTAGCCTCAAGTCACTTGCACCTTTGAAGCAACTGACCGTGTTGAATTTGGCAAACTGTGTAAGGTAAAAAAACCATTTAGTCCATAGTCAACAAATACTGGATATCGAGGATGCAACAGTCCCTTGTATGAAGGAGCTCCTGACTCATGGTTAAATAGGAAGGTTGGTAGAGGTAAGTGCAGAGTTCTCTGGTAACAAGGGAACCCAACCCTCTTGCCACGTTGTCTGTGGTAATGTGAAAGAGGGGCTGGTAATGGGGGGCACAGGAGAAGCTCAGGATGAGGACTCACGGACTCCTGTAACATTAAGTGAACACATGGACTACACTTCTTAGTCAGGGTTCCCACAGGTAGTTCAGTTATTTTCCCAAAGGTTATTTTCCCAAATGGACTTGCTGACTTACTTTTGAGGAACCAGTCTAACTGTGAGGTTTCCTCTCTGGTACACATCTCTTCTGTGTGGATTTTTTGACAAATAGGCAGATAGCAAACTCTTACTGAAACTTTTCAGTGGGGCCAGTGGTATTGGGCTACTATCTTGGTATTCTCAAGGGGGAAAGGATCAAATTACTGCTAAAACCTCTTCAGTGGGTATTTCTGCCTCTTGTCTGTGTAGATTTCTTATAGTTTTATAGGGCCAGTTGAGAACAAATAACATTTGATCTATAATGAAGGTGGCTAATATTTGGGAAAACATAAGACAAGTCAGAGTTACAAATTAAGCTACAAACTGTTAGCCCATGGTCTCTATGATTACAGCAGAAAGGCAGCATGGGTGAAGAGGTAGCTGGGAGAGACCTAAGGGTTTGGAATGGGAAAAACTTGAATTAATAAATGAGGCCTACAGCCTATGGCCAATAAAGAACTAGAGCCTCTGGTCAATGGTCATGTGCATGACGTTGGACATGGACCTGCCAGACTCAGCCAAACACCAGCACACTCAACTCTATAAAACATGTTAGTGGACATGAAAAGTCAAATAAGCACTAATACAGTTGTAACAGGGAACCTCAATACCCGCTATCACAAAAAGGTCAAATAGACCCAAAAAATCCACAAAGAAATATCAGAACTGAACCAAACTTTTGAACAAATGGATTGAGTAGATGTCTACAGAGTGTTTCACACAACATCAGAATACACATTCTTCTCAGCTGCACACAGGAATTCTCCAAAATAGACCATATACTAGCTCATAGAACATGCTTAAGTGAATGCAAAGAACTGAAATTATTCCATTCATATTATCAGACCATAGTGAAGTGAAATTGGAAATCAGTGGCAAAAGAAACCACAAGAATTTCATAAACACATGGAAATTAAATAACACCCTCTTGAACAACCAATAGATCACAGATGAAATTAAAGAACAAATTAGATAGTTTCTACAACTAAATGGCAATTCCAGTAAACATACTGAACTCATGGAACACAATGAAAGTAATCTTATGAGGGAAATTTATAGCAGTGAATATCCATATCAGCAAAACAGCAAACTCAAATAACCTTATGTTGAACCTCAAGCTTCTAGAAAAAGGAGGTCAAGTCAAGCCCAAAGCTCATATGAGCGAGGAAGTTATAAAGATCAGAGCAGAAATAAATGCAATGAAGACTAAGGAAAAGTACAAAGAATCAGTGAATTGAAGAGTTAGTTCTTTGAAAGATTAAATAAAATTAACAAACCCTTAGCCAAACTTAACAAAAATAGGAAAGAAAAGGCTGAAATCCATACAATTAGGGGTGAAAAGGGTAAAATCACAACAGATCCTGCAGAAATCCAGAAGATCATCAATACTTACTTCAAGAATCTATATTCTAATAAGATGGAAAATGTAGACAAAATGGACAGATTCCTAGATACATATGAATTGCCAAAGCTGAATCAAGAAGATATAAAAGTTCTAAATAAACCAGTATCAGTTAATGAAGTTGAAGATGCATTTAAAAACTACCAACAAAGAAAAGCCCAGGCCCTAGAGGATTCACAAGAAATTTGAATTCTGTAAGAAATTTAGAGAAGAACTGATGTTGTTACTTCTCAAACTCTTTAATGAAGTTGAAATGGAGACAGTACTCCCAAATTCATTCCTAGAAGCAGGATAGAATAGGTAAAACTCTTGAAGACACTGGTGCAGGAAAAGACTTCATGAACAAAACTCCGATTGCACAGGAAATATCACAAAGAATCAACAATTGGGATCTCATCTTATTAAAAAGCTTTTGCACAGCAAAAGAAATCACCAACAGAGCAAAGAGACAACCCACAGTGTGGGAAAAAGTTTTGCCAGCTGTTCCTCAGATAAAGGGCTGATGTCTAGAATATATTAAAAACTTTTCAAAACACTCAGGTCCCCCACATTTAAAGACCCAACCCCAAAACGAACACCTGAAATTATTAGACACTTCTCAGATGAGGGAGTAGAAACGGCAAGTAAATAATATGAAAAAAATCTCAGCATCACTGGTCATTCAAAAGATGTAAATTAAAACAACCCTGAGATTCCATCTCAACCTGGAAACAATGGCTGTTATCAAGAAATCAATAACAAATTCTGACAGCACTGTGGAAATCAGTGTGGAGATTCCTCAAAAAACTAAAACTAGAGGTTCCATTTGATCCAGTTGTTCTCCTTCCCAAAAGGATTAAAAGCATCATACCTCAGCAATATATGCACACCCATGTGTATAGGGGCATGGTTTGTAATAGCTTAGAAACACATTTAATTCAAAAAGAGATTCATAAACTGAAAGTCAAAGGATGGAAAACAATCCTCCATGCAACAGGAACCCAGAAAATAGCAAGGCTATCTTGACTGCAAGCTCCAGAAACACCCTGACCTCGAACCACCCAGCTGTTCTACATCCACTTCCTGCAATCCAGAAACTGGGAGATGCAGGAAAAAATGTTTGCCACTTAAGACACAAAGATTGTGTCAGTGTGTGATGTAGTGATAGACTACAGAGATCCACGTGTGTGCATATGTATGTGTATCTGTATCTTTCATCCTGTCTATACAAATATGTGAAATAAAATGGAACTCCCTTCTTGTATTTTAGCCAGGATATGCAAGTTAATTTTAAATTCAATGGAGGGCTGGGGATTTAGTTCAGCGGCAAAGCACCTGCCTGGCAAGCGCAAGGTCATGAGTTTGATTCCTGGTGCCAGAAGAAAAGACAAAAAAAAAAAAAAAAAAAAAAAAAAAGATAAATTCAATGGAAAATTTCTGTTTCCAGACTATAGTGGACAAGACACTTCAAAAGACTCTGCCACAATTTAGACCCTTGAGGAAATATACTCTTAGTACACTGCTGAGCCCACTCCAGATATAATTAGAAATAAACATCCCAGGGGAAGGAAAAGAGAGCATGGGTAGAGCCCATCTCCTGCTGGGACGAAAGCAGGATGAACACAGCGGCTCATACTGCCTCTTGTTAGGACTTGCAGGAAGGCTGAGGCAGTCTTTCCCAGCATCAATTCTCTGTGGTTCAGGAAAGGACCTGTGGTCACCTACTGGCCTCAGTCTGGTTGAACTGACCTTGTATTTAGCAGAAATCTCTCCAAGATTCTGGCGGCCGTTTGGCTGTTGGTTTTGGTTTCTGTGTCTGAAAGTTTGGTCTTTTTCTGTTGCATGAAATCGTATTAGGGATTGCTTAACTTTGTCACATTTTAACCTGGGAGAAGAGGCCACTTGTGTTATTAAGAATTATGCTTACTTAATTAAATTAACACATGAAAACAAGTAACAATTTTATTAATACTTCTTCTATTACTATCATCTGTACATTTTCCATTCCATTAAAGTTATATGATCAAATTTGGTTTTAAATGTCAACAACATTCCTGAATATAGGCAGCATTTGCTGTTTTGCAAGTATGTTGGGTATAGAAGCTGTTATTTTAATGGTACCCTATATATCCATATATGACATGACATGTGAAGCTTTTTTCTTTTCTCCAGGATTGGTGATACGGGATTGAGGCAACTTGTTGATGGTCCTTCGAGTACCAGGATAAGAGAGCTCAATTTAAGTAACTGTGTGCACCTGAGTGATATCACTCTTGTGAAACTCTCAGAGCGGTATGTAAAGCAATTTTCTACCTCATAGCATTAGTACTTGTATATTTGCTAGTAAGAGAGGTCAGAGATGACTCCAAGCCATCTGGGATTCCCAGAAGCTGATCCAGTCCTCAGTAAAATCAAAGACATGGAAGTCATCAATTGAACCACTCTTCTGACTATATCTGAGCCATTTTCTTACTATGTCACCTAAAAGAAAAGTTAAGATGGGGTCATTCATGAAGTACTGAATATCTAGGTATGTGTGACTTCTTTGAACTTTTCAAGGATATTGTCTCTGAAAGCATTAACTCCAGGATTTGCCCAGAGGTGTTCAGGCTGATTGGTTTATTCTTGACCCCTCTTCCTTGTCAGAGGCCTTGTGTTCATTCAAGGTCACACTCAATTCCCGCAGCAAATGTGGAAGGGGTAAGTGAGGAACTTCTCCTTGCACTCTTTAGTGGCTGTTTGTCAGAGTGCATATGTAACAGTGTTTTCTATGCCTGCGATATGTGTGTATACAGCCTGTTAGAAACTGCAGTGTGAAACTGAAAGAAAGCCTTATAGTTTATCTTCCTTTCATCCGACTTTAAAATGCCAAATTGTTTTCTTCTTTTAGGCTTATACTTACGTGGAGAAAAGGAAAATTTTGCTTCAATATCATTTCATGGGCCAGGGATACAGCTCAGTGGCACCTGCCTGGCAAGTGCAAGGGCCTGAGTTCAATTCCTGGTTCCAAAAAAAAAAAAATCATTCATTTTCCCCCAGATAGTTTTTATACAAAGACGTTTGTAATGATGATATGACTGAAAGCTGAAATTAATTCTTCGTGTTGCTTTCTCTTAGCTGCCTGAATTTAAATTACTTGACTTTACGAAATTGTGAATATTTGACCAACCAAGGAATTGAATATATTGTAAACCTCTCTTCTTTGATATCACTAGATCTCTCTGGAACAGTCATTTCTGATGAGGTAAAAAAAATAATCAAAACAGTTCAAGGGCTTATTATTGCTTTTCATAATATAATCATTTTCTGATTTTAAACATTAAAGAGAGCAACAGTTAGTTTTACTCCTTAAATTATGAGATTAAAATGGCAAACTTAGAATATTGTTTCTAGAATAGTGAAATGTGAGGCAGTTTGTAAGTCAGGTCTTGCTGCTCTGCTTACAGAATAGCAAGTTGCAATCATTTTAGGATCAAAGTATTACATGATAATGTGAAATTCATCATAGAAGTTTGGTATTTTAGATAGCTTAAATATATTTTCCTATGGATTGTTTATTCTGCAAAAAAGTGCTGTGAGATCTAAGTCTTTAGTTGAAGACTAAATTCTAGAAATGGCCTCATAAAGTCTACAAAAGGATGCATTTGAAGGAACTTATTTCCTATGAGCTGTTGATACTGCTCTCAGAGCTGAACCCCCGGACACACCCATCCTACCGCTGCAGCACTGCCTCATTTACTAATCCAAGGAAGGGAAGTTATGAATTGGCCATGTTTCTGAAAGACCTCAATACTCTACTCATAAACAAGGAATGTTTAGGCTCCTCTTAAAAGTCAGTGTGTTGGAATGGCTGCAAGAAGACAATGGAGGTGAGAACTCCTCCTACTACTGGGCTTTGAGGTGCTGGTGTTTCTACAAGTGGTTTCTAGGTTCTTTCTGTCTTGAGCAAAGAATTGGTCAAGACAAGCACAAAAGGTAGTAAGGTGTTACATTTATTAAAGATAGGAAAAGAGGCTTTGCAGAAGGAATTTGAGCCAAGTACAAGTAGGAAAAGTACACTGTACAGCGTGAGGGTGGGATACTATGAAAGTGCACAGGAGCGGAGAGCTCCTTTCGGGATCACCCACTCCTCACGCTAATGTCAGGTTTAGGCGGCCTATCCCAAAATGCTTGAGTTATCGCGAGAAGTCCACACAGGGCTTTGAGAACTGTTCTGCACAGGTGTCCTGGGATTTTGTAATTAACAGGTCACAGCCCCTTTTCCAGCCAGTTTGCCACACACTAGTCTCCTGTCTCTCTACCCCATCTGCTTGCTCAATCCCTATTCATCCCCAAAGCCCGAGAGCAAATCTCACCTGTGAGGCGTTTACTTGGAAGCCCTACCCTGCGGGCCGTTGGAAATTCTGTGCGCACATCTCCAGCCCCAGCGCACCTTTAACGCGGCCCGCTTCTCACGGCATCCTAGACCTCTGTGTTTTGCGTCCACCTTTCCCCAGCAGCAAGTGCTTTTTGATGAAAGACTTGTCTGCTCACTGGTCTAGGTGCTTTCCTTCCCTTATCTATAAGCACACTTCCTCTTGGTCTCTGTTCTGCCTGCTGCTGCCCTCTCCCCTCCACACTTTCTTCCAAGTGCAGCAGGTGAGTGGGGTGGGGAAGAGTTGTTCGTAGTCAGCTCCGTATGGTGAGCTCAATGTCTCATCTTCCTCGGTGCTGTGATCCAAACAAACTGGAATTCACGGAGGTGTCCAAAGGCCATCTGGTGTTTAGGTTCTTGTCTTGGCAGATCCCTCCAGTGTCTTCCTTGTCCCGGGTCCAAGGGCACTTCACATGTTCAGGCTCCTTTGTCATGTCTGCCATGCTCAGGGCCTTGCCGTAGCACGGGGACCCTGTGAATCTGTCTGACGTCCATCGTCCCAAACAACCCCTACAGACATGCTGCTCCTGCCTTGTGGATGTGTCTGTCCACAGACCCATGCTTCAGCCTGCTGTGCTCTGGCTGGCCCGTGTCAGCTAGAGTCCGAGTTGAGGCTGGTGCTTGTGAGGCATTTGGAGTTCACAGAAGGGATTATAAATACTCAGCTGTTTCTGTTTTCCATGTTGGATCTTCACTGATAAAATGATATACACAGGGAATCTCTGGTGTCTCGTTCTTTTTATCAGTCCTTCCAGGGGATGGTGGAAAGGGTTCTCATTTAATCTTACATGCCAAAACATATGCATAGGATCCAACTTCCTCTCCAGCAGAACAGATCTGGGAAGGTCCCGTCAGCTTGGGGGTCCCACAGCAGCTCATTCTTTTGCTTTTCTCTGTGTTCACCCCTTCCCTCTTCTGCCCTCCTCCCCCTATCCTGTCCTCTCCTTTTCCTCTTCTTTCTCCTCTCCTCCATTCCTCCCTTCTTGTCTTCTTTCATTTTCTCTTGGCATAGCTTCTTCGTCTAATCTAGGAGTAGAAAAAAATGGTTACATGGTTTCAAAACAGGTTATGCCCCAAGTCTTTTTAGGACTTAGGCTTTTGAAGCTTAAAAGCCCAGGGGTTTTTTCTCCTGTGTAAGAGCCTTCCCCTGCTGTGTGTGAGCAGAGTGTCCAGCTATTGTCTGAAGGGTCACTGGGTAACAGGCAGTACAACATCAAAGCGCATAGTGAAACATCAAGGTTTACCTCACAGATAACACAGAACTTATCACAAGCTGCAATGACTGGTAACACTTGCTGAATATATGGAGCGAAGGCTAAATGCTACATCTTGAGTTTTTTAGCATTTAGAGAAATCTATTTCTGAAGACCATACTGAGGAAAAGTTAAAACTTGAGAATATAGTTCCCAAGTTCCATTCTTTATTTTTAATTTATTCTGAAGAATATACATAATTTCAGAGAGCTGCAAATGGATAGCCATTGTTTTCTGCTAACTGATTAGAAATAAGTCTTAGAAAATTAGAAAATAAGTAGATTAGAAAATAAGTCTTCTGGAGGTTGTTACTTTCTTCCTCTGAGTCAGTTAAACTCTGATTTAAAAGACAAGTGATTGACATAACACTGCTGCAACAGCTGTGCAAGCTAACCTTAAACGGTCAAATTAGATGAGTCAGGCCAGATGTCAAGTTGGGCAGCTAAACACCAGTGTGAACCAAAGTTCTGATGAAGTGCAAATTTGACTGCAGGCTTACGTTTAGAATCTAAATGCTGGACTGCTTTACATATATGCACCAGAGATCAAAAGTAAGCAGCTGTGCCTTTTGGGAGAAAATTTCTTATGTTTTCTAATAATTATTTCTCAATTCTTCTCAGTTCTCTCTTCTTTCAGCTAGTAGCGCCCTGCTGGTGCAGTAACAGATACTTACCCTCACCCCATTGTACTTAGAGCCGGGCATGCAACACGGTCCCTCCTCCTCGCACCTACATTCTGGTGGAGCAAGTGTTTGCAAAGTGTGATGGGGTGGAGAATAAGGAGAAGCACAGCCTCCCCTGCTCAGAGGGCTGAGGAATACCGTGTGCTCCAAGAGAAGGAGAAAGGCGGTGTATTGTAAGCCCAGGAAACAGCGCACAACACAGAAGTTTCAGTGTGATCGCATCAAGAAATCCACACACTTGGGTATGGGGGGATCACAAGGAGATAGTGAGAGATGTTGCTTGTAAGATAGAGAGGGGCCAGGTCTCTTTGGAGAACGTTGATCTTCCATAGCTATTTGAAATACCTAATTAGGATTATTTAAATATGGGAAATGTTTTTCTTGTATACGGGAGAATGTTTTCTGCCAGTTAAGAGAATTATGACTTACTCAAGACCACAGGATCCACAATCAGGGCAGCTCACTCTGTTGCTTATGTTGCCTCAGTCACTGCCATATTTGTTGTCCAAGGAAAAAATGAGTCAGACCAATGTTCTGGATGGTGTGCTTAGACAGTGGTTTAAGGAGACTCTTTCATTTATTCAGATTCAAAAAATTTTATTGTAAGCTCTAGATGATGATCACCTGCTGTTTAGGCCATCTCCTGGAGTGCCCCTGGTAGAATGTGAGATCCATGAGCACTGAGACTTGATTCCATTCACTGATGTTTTCCCACAAGCCCAGAGTAGCAGGCACTTGATAAATACCCATTGCCTGAAGGAACAAGTGCTGGGCTCTTTGGTTACCAAACTGTCCTGTTCTCCCCAGGCCAATTTGGAAGGGTAGGTGTGGGTCATTTAAATATCGTGTAGCAGGTGTAGTGACAGAGGGAAGCAGAAAACAGACGCTTAACTGAGAGATTTTCAACACAGAAGCAGGTAGACACACACTTGTTTAAGAAACTCTGTGCAGCTTAATCCTGCTAGAACACACTATGTGGGAAAGAGATGTTCCAGAGGGAATTTCATGCTGTGCCAAGCAGTATGGACTTGAACCAGTAGATAAAACAACAGTGTTTAGTGTAGAGTCATAGTAAACCTCCTGTTGTAGGTAGTTTATGTGACCTGACCTCTGGACAATAGATTGTGGGGAGAAAGACTGTAGGCGGGGAGACCAGTGAGAGGTATTTTAGTAGTTAGAGACGAGGTGTTCTTGAAGGAGGTTAGGCTAGGATTAGTCTGGAAGAGACTTATTCAAGAATACATAATACTTGAAGGAGTTGGTGGTTGATTAGTTGTGGAAAACTAGGATCTAAGGGTAGGATGGGAAAGTGATAATGATTTTTAAAATATGGCTTTCAGTGGATGAAATTCCTATTTCAAAAACATTATGTAATGTAAGAAAAGCAACAGGTTTTGAGGAAAAGATTATTTTGGTTTTATCAGACTGAGAATCTGTGCCACGTTCGGGCCAAAGCCTGGGAAAGAGACGGTGGCTGGACCTGCAGGTGGGGCCTCTATTATCATGGAGGTGGGATGTCAGCAAGATTGTCAGGGAGACCCTGAGGATGAGGTGTCACAGCTTGTATCTAGATGTCCCCCCAAAGCCTCATGCAGTCATAGGTGGGGCTTTTTGGAGTTGGCTGGATCTGGAGTGTGTGACACTGGGATCACACGGGTGTGATTACTAATTTAGTCCACTGATTGGTTGGGCATCCTTCTGGGACAGAGATAACATCTCTGTTGGTTAGCACTTGTGGCTTGTCGCTTGCTTTTCTGTTGCTTCTTGCTTCCCGCGTGGCTGTGAACTGCTTGCTTCTCCTCTTCAGTGCCCCTCTGCCGCGCCACCCTGCCTTAGAGCCAGCAGACTGTGGACTGAAGCGCCACAAACTGTGAGCCAAATGTGCCTTTCGTCCT